CACAGACCCATAGCACTAATAAGTTGATTTTCAATCATCTGTTAACTTAAAACTATTTGTTTTACAGCATCAAATACACTGATGTTGCTTCTACGTCGTCTTTATAGTTCTCATTTTATGGGTTTTACTTTACCTGCCAGCCAAGAACAATTTGAGCGGGAGATTTTTTATATTTTTCCGCCATCTTTGAAATCTTTAAATCATCCAGAAGTTTCGGTTCATCTGGTTTAGCCCAGGGGCGGTCTGGTGAGCCGAGGGGAGAGTAGGCGGTCAGATAGATGCCGCGCTCCTTGCAGAACTCCAGTAGGCGGGATTGATTTAGATAAGGGTGGGATTCGACCTATACAATATGGGTATTGTTAATGCTTTTATCCGGTTCAAGATTCAAAATTGGTTCAGGATTAGGATAAGTTTTTTTTTCGCGGATCAAGATCCATTTATTAAGATGCTGTTTTAATATTAAGTACTAGCTTGGGAATCCAGCGCTGCCTAGGTTACTAAAAGTTACTCCCGCCGTTTACCCGCACTTGAACGATTTTACCAGGAAACTAAATTTTCGTCATTAAAGTCGACCTAGTCAGCATTATAATCTCAAAATCTAGCAATGAACATCCCCATGGATCTCCCGAGTTCCCCAATCAAAATTTGAGGCAAATCAGTCCAGGGGTTCCTATGTTATGATCGGACAAACGGACAGCCAGACAAACTTCATATATATCAAATCAAATTGATTTGAATAAAATCTTTCCTTGAGTGCAACTTAATCATAATGCAAGTATTGTATTCTGTACTATTGTATTTATTGTATTCTGTACTATTATTCTATTTTTAATGGATTGCAGAGGTGTATATTTATCATAATTTACCGGACTTATATCATCGTACTTCAATGTTCCATCCTCATTCTAGAAATTTCAAAATAAGTTCAAAAATGGGCAAATAAAAAATAAAGAAAATCAGAGAAAACCTAGTCACAAAAAAATGAAAGGAAAATAATAACCTTTGGAAACTTATCGTCTCCCCTTTGGAAAGCTGTTGGCCAATGAATGAGGTAGAGGTCTAAGTACTCGAGACCAAGGTCGCTGAGGGTAGCACGGCAGGCAGCCTCGACATCCTAGATTAAAGGATTTACAGATGTTTTTTTTTCTTTCAATTCTGATTTCAGATAATTTTTTTAAGATGTTTTCCGTAGTAAATGTAGGCTATTTTATGGCTGGCGTGCGCCCTAAATGTTTGTTATTGATGGGAGATTCAATGTGCGCTCTTGTTGTGCTTCCTCATTATTAGCACATCTCATTATTAGCACATTTATGTGTCTTCTTGTGCACCCGAGAATGTTACATTTAGGACTCTTCATTTTTCTAGTGATTAAACGTTCCCGTAAGGAATAAGGATGTCCTTTAAATAAATGCAGCACAGTTGTTTTTTAATATAACCCTTTTTTATTTAAATTCTAACTTTGACAGAAGTGGGAGAGCTGGCTATCAGCACAAGATTTTTTATTTTTTGTTTGTTTTGTAAATTCAGGCTTTTTTACTTTATTGCAACTAAACGTGAAAATTAGAAACCTACCTCTGGATGATGTTTAGTGTTCCAAAGTTTGCTTGTAATAAACAGTTGATCCCGAGCTACACCACCAGCTTTAATACCAGCTCCTACCTAACAGCTGAGTGTTATTCAGTCGGACCAATTGAATAGTGGAAAACAGATGTGCCTTCATTTGGGTCGTTTTTTGTCTATATTTTCTATATTTTCTTTCAGGGTCAAAAATTGGCATAATGTAAGAAAAGCAAATATTTTCAACATTTTTTACTAAAAACATTTACAAAAATTTGACCCTGCCAGAAGATATTGCAAAAGAACGAACATGTTTCAACAATCGTTTGTGTATCGGTTTTCAACTTTTTATTTTTTTAGGAAAAAATATTCAAAAGTTTTAAAGAGCAAATCTTAAAATAACAATTTTGAAAAGTTTGGTAGCTATAATAACATTTTTGAAAAGTTTGATAGCTCTAATAAAATTTTTTTCTAAAACGAATCGAAACCCAATTCACTAAATAAGTTGATTTTCAAACTACTGTTTGGCAAGTTTTTTTGCCTTTAAAAATTGTGTTGCTGATACTAGAGTGAAACCCTTAATAACGAATACACCGAAAGAATTCATCAAATGTCATATTCTTCACTTTCTGATAATGAAATGTTTCAAATATTTAGTTTTTTAATTAAACGATTACATGGAACTCTTTAAAACTGTTCCCGCATATTCATGGCTATTTATTTGTTTTCACAAATACTGTAATTTACGTAATATAGTATAACTCATTGAAAAATTGTCAAGACGACATTTGATAAATTCTTCCAATGTATTTGTTATTAAGGGTTTCACTGCATCTAAAATTGATTGAAGATCTAACCTCAACTTCGTTCCCATAAACTGCAGCGCAATCAATATGTCTATATCCAGCCTGAAATACGATATGTCTATATCTAGCCTGAAATACAATATGTCTATATCCAGCCTGAAATACAATATGTTTATATCCAACCTGAAATACAATATATTTATATCCAACCTGAAATACAATATGTTTAAATCCAGCCTGAAATCCAATATGTCTATATCCAGCCTGAAATACAATATGTTTATATCCAGCCTGAAATACAATATGTCTATATCCAGCCTGAAATACAATTTACAGTATGATCTAGTATTACTACAACAAACCAATGTGGATGATCTAGATGGCTCACTTTACAAGGAAGAGGGCTGAATCATGTGTCAAAGTCGATAGTGGCCACTTCGAACATTTAATACTTAATTTAATTTAATTTATACAAGATCATGCATATAATGATTTTTTAACGATTTTTGAAGTCAAAAGTTGTTGCAGGAATATTGTATCAATAATCATACTATGTTACAAATCAACAAAAGACCACCAAATAGTGGTGAGGGGGAAAATAGTTTTTTAAGATTTTGAGGAAATAAATGAAAAATTGGACATTAACTGGCATTTCTTTTTAATCTACTGGGGGGGAGGGGGTTGATTTTTACCTCCAACTGGAAATTTTGGGTTGATATTTAAGAAATGGCTGTTATCCAAATTTTCATTTATGCCTATAATAATTTCAGTTTCTAATAATTTATAACTTAATACAATGACTTACTTTAATCGCCGTTTCGACTGCCATCGCCACCTCACCCGTCTAAAATAGAACCGTTATTCAGTATTTTTTATTTTTGACAACTGTGAAGCCATTGGATTTGAGATTTAACATCTCTTTTGTAAAAGGCACTTTTTAAATTCAGAATTGGTAGAAATAAGATCACTACAATTAATTCAATCAATAAAATCTGACTTCGGTAATTTCCTAATATACGATTTCTGTTTTTAGAAAACTTGCCTTGGATTTCCATGTACCAAGTCCAACTAAAGGCATTTTTAGCCCATTGCTTAGTGTAACACAGCTGGTTGAGACAGACATTTTTATCTGAAATGACACATTAAGTTTTACTACACAACAACAAGAATTTTAACATGCTAATTATATTAGATTGAAATTTATTGACATTATAAGTGAGAAATACGTGTAATTATTATAATTGTAATTGTAACTGCAACTAAAAATGAAAATAATTGATGTTGCAGTTGCCAGATATCTTACAGGAGCATACTTTTTATGCTTTAGAATTCACGTAAATCACTTACCTTGATATTAGCTTATTAATTGGAGAGCAATTCTTATCTCTGAAATGTGGCAAAAAGATAATAAAAACACCCTCGAGAATAATTTAGCCGGAATTGAGGAAGAAAATAAATAAATGTGTTTTGTCCAATGAGACAAGAGTTATAATACGACGAACCAATAGGAGTTCTTCTAGAAGATTCCCTGCAAAACTAGTTTTCAGGGGTAGATATTCCTTGCTTAAATTTGTACTGTTTACTCACTAGCCACATGAAAATGTTAAAACGCTAGCTAAAGTAAAGTGGGTTAGGTTAGTTTCATAATTTTCTATAGCTCTTAACGCACAAATTTAATGTTTTCAAGGGGCTAAGAGGGAAAAAGGGGTGCATACATGCACGCATGAGGTTGGCAATATTCAGCTAAAAATACATCATGCCCCTGGTTTATGATTATAATTTGATGAAAAGAGTACGAGTGCCTGAAATGCATGTCGATTGTCGACATCTTAAAAAAAATGACCCCAAATTCGAATTTTCTGAATTTTATTTAAATAATTAAAACAGCTGAGCAAGCAATGACGACTAGACCGCGGGCAGGGTAAAAGTTACGTTTAAAATATTATTAAAAAAAGTTTTTCATTAAGAAAATTAATTTAAGAATTTATTTTATAAATTGATGAAATAAAAAGTTTGTAGAGTAGAAAAATTATGTATCCCTGAAAAATATGGATGCTTTCAGTTTCTAGTAGCTTCTGAAAACAGACACACACGCCGGCTGCGGTCATGAACATATGTGAAACACGCGCAAACGCATACACATGCTTAGTTGACCGGGCTGACCGATACTTCATACCTACTTGTTTATCAAATTAAACGTAGCTAATTACGTTTTTGTAATAAATATTTTAATTTCATTGTTTCTTTCTGCAAACTAGTTAAACCAGTTTTTGAACCAAGGCGTTATGCTTGCAAACTCGTATTTGTCCATTTTATATAAGCCTGTGTAATTTCCAATTGAACAATTTTTGGACCGCATCCTGGGCCCCCGTCCCCCCACCCTGCTTTAAATTTTGACTATGCATATTTTAAATTTAACACATTGATAAAAGTCAGTCATGTGGCCGCAGCGTCCAGCCCACTATCCTATCCTAGCCGCGGCGCTCGGTCACATAGCCTGTCCTAGCCGCAGTGCTCGGCCCCCTAGCCTGTCCTAGCCGCAGCGCTCGGCCCAGAAATTGTCTTAACCTAACCAAAAATCGTATACTTGGACGGACCCTAAGTATGTGTCTGACTCTGGCATAATCTTGATTTCATATTTCAGACATGTAACCCATAAAAATGTCGGGATATAGGTCATGTACGAAATTGATAGGAGAGGTGGGGGGGGGGGGGGGCCAAAAATCGTATACTTGGACGGACCCTAAGTATGTGTCTGACTCTGGCATAATCTTGATTTCATATTTCAGACATGTAACCCATAAAAATGTCGGGGAATATTTTCCTCGGAAAATGGCGTATTGTGGAATCTATTCCTTGTTCCGATGAGAACTATTTGAAAACATTGTCTCCACATGAAGCTTCACACCCCCTTTATTATCCTGAAGATACCCCGCCCCTCAGGAGTAAAGGAGCTTCCGTCCTCAAGTCGACAAATCCGGAAGTTTCTGCTTTATTGGTAAGTCATGATTTGGTAATTTTCCTAGAGAATTATTTTTGGACATGCATTTCTTATTTAACACTAAGATTATGTTGGTTATATGGCCGCATCGCCGCGGCCCTCTAGCCTGTCCTAGCCACGAAGCTTGGCCCCGTAGCCTTTCCCAGCCGTAGCTCTCGGCTCCATAGCCTGTCCTAGTTGGTAGCATCAATGCTGCCTTGTTTTCAGAATTCCAAAATGTGGTCTTTTGTTTTTGTACTTTAAGAATTGACTAAGACAATGAGAAATTTGTTTAAAATTCAAAATATTAAATATAATCAAGGTTGATTTAAATCTCTAGTATTTCCAACAATTTTTATAATACAAAGAAGGTGGCTAAATCTTACAATGATTTTCTATACTCCTTTGACATCTATTAAATTTAAGAAAATCAAAGACAAATTGTAAGTTCCAGGGTCCAATGTCTAACGTACCGCATAACACTCCAGCGAAAAAATTACATCAAACCTTGACTATGATATATCCATTCTATTATACATCCATGATCAAACCTTACATACCCTTTCTTCAGGGAATAGAGTTCACACTTAACGATACTGGAGATGTTACCTGGAATTTTAAAAACAAGTCTTGTACGACTCCAGCTCTGAAACCGAAAGAATTTTGTTCGAATGTGGAAGAAATCTCGCAAAAAGTGGAGGAATTAGCTCCAAGTTCAGAGGGAGGAACTTCATCGGACGAAATAAAACTCGCAAAATTAAGTTGCAAATTGGAAACTAAAGATGATTTACCTTCTGAGCTTAATGAATTGAGTCTAGAATCGAACGAGATAGGAGAATATGATTCATCTTTCAAATCTGAAAAATCATCCGTGAATCCCGAAAGTGTAATTATTGAACCTCTTGTGGATAAACCCGAGCAAACTTTTATACCCTTATTACACTGTACTGCTTATCAGGTAACTATTAAGATAAAAACAACATCTTATATAGAAGAATTTGAAGGAAGAGTTCGCGAAGAATAGTTCGTAAATATGTACATGACCCCCCTTAAATTTTTGGCGAACACTCCCTTTAAATATGTTGTAAAAACCATAAATTAAATATGGTTTGTTTTGATCTGAAGGTAAAATTCCAGGTTGTTTGGGAGACTGTTAAATCTGCGAAGAAGTTTATTATCAGATTCTCTGAGAGCCAAGGAGCCACTATAGAGTTTAATGTGCTTCTTGACTCATCAACCCTATCTAGGTAGTCCCTAAGAAGTGGATCTAAATCATTTTGATCCGGAATCCCGATCCTTATTTTATGAAATCCGCATTTTTTGGAAATTAATTTTGTGGATTTTTATAATTGTTAATGTCTTAATTAAGAAAAAAGTTATTGCAAAGTTCGGGCTGAATGCTTGACAAAAAATGGCCCATTTCAACATTTACAGATTTTATAAGGAAATAAAAAAAAACAATCTTTTCTTTTGTTTTTGCTTATTTATGTGATAAAACGGATGAACCATTTAGAGATCTGGATCTAGATCTTGTCTCTGCACTGTGTCTAGTCCTAATAGTTAAGCATCCATCAGTTTTTATTTGGATGTTTTAATGCCATATTAAGCAACACTAGTCGTAACATCAAAACCTTGCCGAATAAATTGTCGGGTTTTTTTACTTTTGAAAAGGATTTCTTCTAAAACACCTTTCCTTCTTAAAATTTATTATTGAATTGACATTTTTTAGGTCTATATCCCTCAGTTTCGATGGTTGGGGAGTCCTTCACTGCATTCTCGTCTGGTGAGTTCTTTTATCTAATACTTATTTTGATAACGATATTTTAAAAAATTCATTTTCTCTACTAGGAGTCCTGATCAAATAGAGCAGGATATCCCATTAAGTTTCAGCTCTCTCTTAGAGCAGGATATGTTCCTCAACCCAGAGCAGGAAGAGTCCCTGAAACTCACCATGAACCCAGGGTCAGCGATCAGAACCCGGCTCGATCATATATCTGCCTACAGTCTGTTTGTACCGAACGAACTAAGGGATGTGCATATTTATTAAGCATTAGGCATTTAGCTCAAAACGATTATCTATTCCAAGATATAGTCACAATAGTAATGATTATAATGGCTAAAGCCTTGTTTATCGAGTCAGGCGTGTATGTTTTCTTTAAAAATTAACCTCCCCTCTCCGAAAATAATATTTTTCCAGAAGTTTTTGGGATGTTTTCGCGGGATTATAAACACTTGTATCAAGCCTTATTAAGCATAATAAGCCTTTCACATAAAATGAGACAAAACTCTCAATTTCTTTAAAACACACGCTAAATAGCCCTGTGATTTTCTATTATAATATTATGTTTTTTTTTCGAAGTACAGGTGTTTATATTTTAATGAATTCCCACTCCTTCAGATTTTATGCAAAATTTGACAATTAGCGTTTTAAGCAAACCTTAGTTATTTACCCCCTAAGAATCATTCGTTAAACAATGAACATGACCATTGGTCAAGACGGGGGATTTTTTTAGACAATGAACAGTATTGTTTATATTCTTGTATATCTAACATATAGAACTCGTGTCGAACAATTGCCAACTGAAAGATAAACTAAACTATGTGTGCATACAGGATTGAATTACTATAACTGAAAGATAAACTAAACTATGTGTGCATTCAGGATTGAATTACTAAAATTGAAAGATGATGACACTCTACACATAATTCTTCACTATCTCCACACACAAGGTAGGAAGAGTAGTAAGCAGTCTTAAAGAGGATTTTTAAATCTGTCCTAGACCATAGTATCCGAGCTCCCCCCTCCCACCTCAGTAATCTGTTAGGTTTTAGGGCACTTTTAATAACTCAGGGACCGAATTTAATGAATTTGAGCTACTTTGCTTAATTGTCGGTTCAAATTTTAATCATCGATTTTAAGTTATTAAATAAGGAAGAATTTCAATTGGTGATTCAAATTTGATCGGGTTATTGAATATTGGTAAGAAGTTGACTAAAGAATTGAAGTACAAATGTTGAAAAATAATTCCGAGGAAATGGTTTGGCTATAAGAAATTAGACATTTTAAATGATCAGTTAAGGTTAAGGAACCAAATATTTTAAGTAGTGTTTCATACGCAAAGTTGATGGCTAATGTGTGGAAGGACAGTCGACTGAATAAGAGGAGAGAGCCTTCTCAATGAAAAATACGTAGTAGTCTTCTGCCTTTGGTCCTTTTAAGCCTTTAAAGTCCAGATTATTTAAATTTCCTTGTTCCTCTATCTGAAGATTGAAAATTATAAAAGGTGGTGGGTTTTATTAAGGTGACTTGCGGGGATTTATTAGAGCAATTAACAAGATGTAATATCGCAAGAATATTTTATCGACGGTCTCTTTAATATTTTTAATTTTAGGATTACAAAGTTGTGTAACAGAAGAACAGTTGGATAAAGTTGTTTCCTTCCTTGATAGTTTACCAAACCTAGAGGAGCAGGAGTTCATGATTAGCTTTGTCAATATCTGTAGGGAGTACACTCTATGCTCGAGAATACAACAGGAGCTGGAGAACATAGGTATGTTCAAGACTTTTAGGTTTTCTTTGTTTCTAAACGTACTTTAAAAGGGTTATGGAGCACTTAAGGGTTAAATGGTGATTTCAAGTGACCCCCTCCTCTAGTGAAGTGTCATTTTCTCAACGGTGGTGGCGGACTAGGAAGATAATTAATTGATTTAGGCGGAGGAAAATGGCAGCTTTTACCTTCATTTCGGGAAAATGAACTCGATATAATAAGAAATTAAAAAGAAAAACAATGCATTAATACCCATGTGGCATGGTTGGGGGTGATTTTTAAAAATATATACCCCTGAAATCATTTTTTACTACTCAATACTCATCCATTCGATGGTGTGTATTGCCCTGAAGGCAGTCTGGGGGTTTCATGTTGGATTCCTTTTCAGATTTAAACTAATTAATATTCCTTTAGTGTACGAGCTGCATGATGCTATGGACCAAGTTCTCCTACAGCTGGGTGGTAGAACAGTGGATGAAAGCGGGAAGGTTAGACATCCACGAAATAAACAAACTGGGCGGTCAGCCATTCAGAATATTCCCCGCCTTCCTACGTTGGTTAAGCAGGTGTGTGGGTCAGATTTAAACTTGGGAAATTAATGAGAGTTATATCCCCTCTTGTCCTGTCCTCGCAAAATAGTTGCACTTGCAACTTTAGATTTTTTTTATTTTTCAATAATTTTAAATTCTGGGAGAAATTAACTATTTTTTCTAGAGGAGGGGAAAAGTCTTAAAAGGGTAAATATTATTTTTTACTTTCTCCATGTTTAGGTGTTGGGAAAGGGGTTTCTATGTTTGCTGAAGATTTTGGAGTTCTGCTCCAGGTTCCAGCAGATTAAACATCAGATAGGAAATACCGAGAGAACCAAAATTATTCTTTTTGCAAAATCGCGTATACCTAAATTTCTGCAGCAATTACTGGAGCTTCTCAAAGCGATGAAACACGCAACTTCCGAGTTAAACACTCAGCTGCGTCAAGATCTGGTTACGTACTTTGTTGTGGAAATTGAAGAACTCATTTTCTTCTTCACTGACTTGGGTAAGCTTCTTTTATTCAGAATTTTGACGTCAACAAAAGGTGAAATAGTTCTGAACAGGGAAAAAATAAATTGATATTTCTAGGATTGATGATGATTGTGAATAAGAGAAATGCGTTGGTTTCATGGATTTTGCCATTTTTTTAGCTTTTTTCATTGAAACAAAAAATCGGATTTTTTGTTTGCTGAACAACGTTGACAGCTTTGGTCTCCCAAGCTGGGTTGGCATTAACATCAAATACAATTAATTGATAGAAAAATTATTTTCTAAAACTCCCCCTTACTCAAAATAAAAAAAATTGTTTTAACTTCTAATTTTGTTCAGGGCTCACCGTTACTGATATCCTTGAGATCATGATTGATAGAAGGATGAGGAGTATTGAAGGTTTGTCTGTGAACTCCTTCCAGTTTATCCTTGTGAGAGGCCAGGTTCAGGAGTTAAGGCTCCTCAAAGAGAAGCTCGGATACCTGGCTGCGTATCTTATTCAAGAGAGAGAAGAGTTTGTTGAAGAGTCTCATCAAGAGAAGGTAAAACTGTTAAATTCATGCCTGGTGTTCTTAAAAATGGCTCTAAGGTTTGGGGTGGGGGGGGCGATGAAAATTCGTCTTTAAAGTTTTCCCTTTTTTAACCAAAAAATCTGTAATTTCCCTAATTTAGCAAGAGAGAAAAACCTGAAAACCTTCATAATATATTAAAAAGGAGGACATTTTTTTGAAGAGAATATTTAATTTTTATTTTTTTATTTTTTTATCTTAAATGCAGGCATTCCAATGAACTTGAGAATTAATTGACGACTTCTGTATCGTCTTTGCTAAGTGGTATTATCGGAAATTTGATTTTTTAGTATCACATTTAACACAGAAAACTACTAGTTTCGAGATTTCTCAATGTGGTGCTAGTCAACCATCTTATTCACCTTCATATATGACGGAAACATGTTAATAAAAAATCAAAAAGCTGCTTAAATGTTTAATCATAACCCCCTGTATGTAGGTGCGAGGGTTGTCAAAGCAGTTTGAGCAGATTGTGAACGAGATACCGCTTCTTATTCTTCACCTGGAGAAGTTTATCCAGCTTCTACTGGTAGGAAGAAATAGTAGCAAAAATATGAGTGGTTTAAACTAGTATTGTCTTAGGACTTTGACCTTCCCCCAAATCTTAAACGTAAAGATGTTTTTCTTTGTTCGGTCGTACGGCAACGCCCGGCCTCTTGCATGTCTTATTCGCTAATCTCAGTCCTTAATAAGTAACAACATACTTTACAGTAAGTACAGTGTACAGTGTACAGTGTACAGTGTACAGTGTACAGTGTACACTGTATACAATACGACCTAATCATCCCTTGTATGTGATATAGATTAGTAGAATACCTGAGATACTGAGTGAACAGGAGATTAATTAACGACCTAAGCCCTGGTGTAGAATATATTTATAGAAGACATGAGATACAGAGAACAAGAGATATGTTAACGACCTAATCCCTGGTGTGTGTAATACATAGTAGAAGACCTGAGATACAGAGAGAACAGGATATTTGTTAACGACCTAATCCCTGGGGTATAATAGATGTATAGAAGACCTGAGATACAGAGAGAACAGGAGATTAGTTAACGACCTAATCCTTGGTGTAGAATATATTCCTAGAATACATATGAGATATAGAGAGAACAGGAGATTAGTTAACGACCTAATCCTTGGTGTAGAATATATTCATAGAAGACATGAGATATAGAGAGAACAGGAAATTAGTTAACGACCTTATCCCTGGCGTAGAATATATTTGTAGAAGACATGGTGTGTGTAATACATTTTAGAAGACCTGAGATTCATACATTTTCCGTGGCTGCGGTTTTCAGCTGCAAAACCACTTGGTATTTATGTTCCAGTGGCCGCCCGCGCGAGCATAAACCATTACACTATGTTATGCTTATGTGTTCAATACTTAGTGTATATAGTGTTCTTTGTGAATAGTGTGAATGTTTCAGGATGACCCAAGGTTTGAAGATAAATGTTTCCTGTTAATGTTTACTGGATTCTCAGGGCATGTAGCTGAAGTACTAAACAGTATTGTACAGTTTAAGGAACCGATTCTACTAACAATCAATTTTATTCAAAAGAATCCCGATNCCCTTTTAGAAATAAACAGACGCGATGCTTAAATTATCTTAATTTTATGTTTTATTTGCAGGTAGGGGGTAATAAACTTCCAAGGTTTCAAACCTGGATTGAGGATTCTGCTTTTTTAAAATTTTGCCACGATTCAAGCGCGATCATTATATCATGTTCATTTTTGGATTGTTTTTGTTCAGTTTTTTTTGTGAGGGTCACAATTTGGCATATGAAAAAATAAACAATTTAAAAAAATTGTTCTTACAAAATGCCAAATTTTGATGCAGAAAGAGAATATAAGAAGAAAAAACGAAAAATTAGTTCATTCTAGTTTTCAACATTGAATTTACAGCAGGAAAGTTCAAATTGGAAAAACACAACAAAAAAAGAATTACTGTTTCTTCCAAATTAACATTATTAAAGAATAATATGTTAACTTCTTTTGTTATTTTTAAAGTATTTTTGCTCAATTTTTGTGTTTATATAACAGGGTTTTGAGAATCTCTATATCTAAAGCTAATAACAACGACGAAAAAAGGAAAAGATACGATTTACATGAAGCTTTTGAGAAGGCCTGACATAGCTCTACATGAAACAATTTTCCGTTTTCATTGACTTTTTTTAACCTCAACCCCCCCCCCCCCCC